GGTAGAAGTATTCAAAATAATATGGTTTTTCTGTCCCTTCTAGAAGAGATTTACAAACAAAGAAAGAGTCAGTTGGCTGTGTTATCTATAGATGTTGAGAAGGCGTTTGACTCAGTGAGTCGGGAGGTGCTGTGGCAGATATTGTTGTGGTATGGTATGAGTGAACATGAAGTGTTGATGATTAAGAAACTATACCAGGCCCCAGAAACTTATATTTATTTAAATGATGGTTTATCCAATGGAATAAAATGTAAAGTTGGCATTCGCCAAGGGTGCCCAAGTTCAATAGTGTTATTCACAGTGTATATAAATGTACTATTGCAAAAGGTGGATAAGGACAGTGTAATAGCACCGGTGCATGTGCCTGGGATGGGAGAGAAAGTTAAATCAATTGGCCATGCAGATGATATCAACTTTCTGATTACGGATAAGGTGTCCTTGAATAGAGTATATAAATCTATTGAAATGTTTTGCCAGTGGACTGGGATGAAATTAACCCCTTCTGAGCCGCACTCGAGTGTGACTCAAGCAAGTTTTATAGCGTTACGAAAAATTGGTCGTTAAGGCCACTTTTGAAAAAATTATTTTTTTTGAATTTTTGGAATGTTTTTTAGGTCCCCAAATTTTTTCAGAATTTTTTGCGCACGCGAAAAAATTTTATCGCGATTTTAATAAGGCTCGATTAAGGCTTAATGTTTTTTTAATGGGAGTTTTTTATCAAAATTAATTTATCATTCTAAAGTTGTAGCGCACCGATTTTCCTTCGGTAAAGTTATTTAAAGCTGCTTTCTGATGTCAAAAACGACTTCCGATAGTTTTTTAATTTTTTTAATTAATAGATTTTATTATATAGAAGTTTAATTAATTAGGGGGGGTCGGAAATCGCAATAAAAATTATAATTTTTTTAAAATATTTAAAAATATACCGCCAGATTGAAGTCACCCTACTTTAAACCCTTGTCCTCCCGCGATGTCTATGAGAATGTCCTGGGAAATCCGACTCCAGCTATGTTCAAGGTCATCCAGATGTGTAAACAATAACTCATCGGTGTTAAATTTCACAGAAAGGCGAGACAAAGAAAACTAAATGATGAAGCTTTTTAACCAAAATTAATGCATTTTTTTCGTTTTTTTTTCAGTTTTAAGTATTTTTTATGCTTAATTAAAATTTTTTTTTTTTAATGGAAAAGAAGGGGTTAAATAAGAAAAAAAGTAAACTCTATAACGTATATGGTGATATACATAGTGTAGATGTTGAGATTGAAAGAGTTGAGGATCTGTCTGTTTTTGCAGTTTGGTATGGTAGAAATAGAAGAGATAAAAATTTGGAAATAATGTTACAGAAGATTAAGGAAATGATAAGTGAGTGGAATACGCATTGGTGGTACATGGCAGAAAGAGCAATTATTATAAATAAAATTATTATAGCAAGACTAATGTATATGTTGTATGTGGTGGTTCTGGATGCAGACATGATAAAAAAGATTGAAAAACAAATCTATAACTTTTTATGGAATAACAGTTTCCAACCATTAAGTAGAAAGATATTGCGTAACAATGAATTGAATGGAGGATGGAAGATTTGGGATTTGAGTATCTTGGGAAATGCTCTTAAGATGTCAGTTATGATGAACAGTCTGCAGACGAAAGATCACTCGGTATGGTACTTGGCGCAATATGTGTTGGGGTCGATAGCTAAGATGATCACCCGAATAGAGGGAAGTTTTCCATTTATAGTTAATGCAAATAAAAGATATAAAAAATGGAGAAGAGATATTGATAAGGTATTAAATGAAAAACCACAGTGGATAGAGAGTAATGTAAAAATGAGACCAGGGAGTATATATGGTATACTTTATGAACAGTTTGAGAATGATAGAATGAGGGCATCAGTTTATGATTGGAAGAAAGTATGGTTAAATGTGAGTGTCCTTCCAGCCGAGTGGCGTGAAATATCCTGGAGGCTTCTACAGATTATCATCATGAATAAAGAATATTTGAGAACTCACCATGGAGGAAGGGATGAAAATTGCCCAAGATGTGGTGACAAGGAATCAAACCTGCATTTATTTTGGGTCTGTCCCACGGTAATTTCAGTATGAAATTGGGTCAACAAGATATGTAAAATTAAATTGAACTGGGAGAACGTAAAGTATCATATTAATTACAGAACACGGCATAATACCTATTTGATTAATTGGATGATAGGTTTGGTGAAAAGGGAGTTGTGGAAGGCCAGATGTGAAGTTACATTTCATAAGAGAAGGGTCAATGCGACAATGATTGTGATGCGTGTTAGAGAAATTGCTAAAATAAAAACAACAAGTGATATGAAGAAACTTAATATTGTAGAAAAAAAAAATATTATGGTGAGTTAGAAAATGTAGTGTGGAAATACGAAAATGATGAGTACAAGTTTTGTGATGAATAAGGACGAGAAGTGAGCGATACTATATCTTAATATTTGGGTCTTGTTTATGTTAATTCATGTAATTTTGTTTTGAGTGTTAATTTTTAGCAATAGAATGTCTTTTATGGAATGTTTTAGTGTTGTAAAAAATGGTATAAAATGCTGTTTGGAGGTTTAAACTGTTTGATTAAGTATTAATAATGATGAGTTGATGTCGTTCATCTAGTTGAGTTTTGATATGATTTGTATTTCTAAATTTATGATGTTTTGATTGGGTGAATTTTATTGGTTGTAATTTTATGGTTTATATTTTATTACTTTAAATTTTACTTTTGTGAACAGGTTTAGTAGTATACCTACAGAGAATAAAGATGGTTATGCTTTCGTAAAGGTATATATTGATACTTACCTGTTTTGTGAAAAAAATATTGTAAATGCTGTTTGATTTATATTGGTTTATATTTAAAAAATGTTCGGGTTTTGGAAATTGTGTTGAGTTGTTTTTGTGGAAAATTGTTAATTTCTGAATTCTAAGTATTATTGTGAATTATTAGTTTTGTAAAATTTAATTAAGATTGTAACTGTTTGGTTTAATTATTGTCAGTTTGTAAATTGTAATTTTAATGTAAAATACTCATTTTTGTTGGTTAATTTTTTGTAAAGGGTATCCTCGGAGGTGTAAAGTTTGTAGAGAAAGCGACTATTGTAAGAGGAGAAACCCACCCTAACTTTTAATAAATGAGTATCTGTTCTTATCAGCTTGATATCTGATACGGTCTCCATCGGAGACCTTCGATATTAACCTGATTTTTGGAACTGGGCAGAAAAGGGGGCTTGCTCCCTCCTCGCCGCAGGTTGCTCAGGCCTGGCACTATCGCCTGAGACAGCCCACCCCCTTTGGGGGAAAAATAAAAATAAAAAATAGAAAAAAAATTTTAACGAAAAAAATTTTTTTTCTACTTACAGCTACATTTCCTTCACGGAAGATGCCAGAGGAGCGATCACAGCTGTAGGAAAACATATTCCAAGCATGGCAGAGCATGAAACAGAAATCCGACGAATTGCAGAAGAAAAGGTAAGAGGAAATGTGGAAAGCGAAAAACCGCCATCGCCACATAGTTCCGGCACGCTACGATGAAGAGGAGCGGTGCGAGAAATACTTTCCCGTGCTTTTGGTCAAAATCGCTAATCAGCAATTCACAGTTATTGAAGAAAAGTGAAATGTGCAATTTTTTCAGTGTGTGACTAATGTGGACAACATGCATGGCATGCACTAAGAATCCCCAGGCACCCCAGGAAAGGTAAGCCTCACTCTTCACATTGAAGTAATGAATGAGCGCAACGTTTTTCTAAACTAACGGATCAAACCAAATCGTTTCAAACTAATTGCATGGAATATATTGTATTATTGAATCTGCAAATATGCTACGTTAAATACAGAAATTTCTAATGTATGCAGCAAGCAAAAAAATATTTATCATTGAAATGCTGTCAGTATTAGCATGACGCAACGCGGCCACGGACTGCGGCATAATTTCCTCCTGTGATGATTGGTGACCAACAGGAGTTTTATGCCGTTGTCAGGCCTTACCTATGCAATACCTGACATTTCCTGTAGCCTTTTGCATCGTCACCTATCGTTTCCTGACGTTCTTTCGTGTGTATTAACGAATATTTGCCGAATGACGTAACCTGGACACACCGCAGGTGTATTGTATGTCTCTGCACTTGGCCTGTCGGCACCTTTGATGTGTTTTTTATCGCTTCTCGGCCTTCTTTGGCCAAGATCAAAGACTCATTCCTCGTTGATATTTTGGCGACCCTCGGACGGATTTGGACTGTGGAAAGTAAGAAAGTGGACTTTGGTGATTGGATTGGACTTGGTGAGTTGTCTTATTGCTTTATTACTGCTACTTACCCTTGCCAGCTGATAGCTGGTGAAGCTCGAGTATGGATGACTCTGGTCAGAGTCAAGAAGCAGATGTCATGGACACAGATGAGTTGGAGACAACCAGAGTTCTGATGGGTGACCACTTTGAAATTTTGCCTGGTGAATCTACTGACTTAGTAGAATGTGAGATGATGTTGGAGGACATTAAAAGATTGAATGCTGTTGCTTCGGGAGGAAGTTCGGCTAAGGTGCCAGTCGGACAGATGAACGAAGGAAATGGAAGAGAGGAATCTGAAAAGATAAGTGATTATTCAAAAAATTACGTCAGTTAGATTAATTATTGGAGAGAAGATAGTTATTGACGAGTTGGTAGAGGCAATAATGGAGAAAATTGATGGAATAGGGACAGTAGAACAAATTTGTTTTCACCCGAATAAAATAGTGGAAGTTGGTGTAAGTTCGGTAGAGGCAAAAGAAAAATTAATTGGATATAGTATAATATTAAATGATAAGGAATTTATTATAGAAAGTTTGGAAAGTGATATAATTACTTTAACTCTTAAGTATGTCCCACATGAAGTGGATGAGAGCCTGTTAAAACAAGTTTTTGGAAAATTTGGGAAAATTCTTAATTTGCATATCAATACGTTTAAATCGAAATTTAAAATTAAAACTGGAACATATCGAATTACGATTGCGACAAGATTGAAAATTCATAATTTTATAGAAATATTGGGAAGACAAATTCAAATATTTTATGTTGGTCAAAAACCAGAATGTAGAAGATGTGGGAGTGATGAACATTTGATAGCTGATTGTCAAATTAAGAAATGCTATAGATGTGGGAGTAAACATCACCTTATTAAAGATTGCAAGGCATGTTATAGTTGTAAAAAGGAACATAGTTTAGATGATAGTTGTCCAGAAGAAACATATGCTGACATTATAAAAAAAGGTCCGAGAAGTAAAAGTGCAGAAAGAAGGGGAGAAAGAAGTTTGGAGAGAAAGAGAAAAGATATGGAAAGGAAAGTTAGTGAACCGATAGAAATAGAGTCTGAAGAGGAAGAAGAGATTATAGAAAAAGAAATAGAAGTACAAAATGTTAGTGTTAAAGAAAAAGTTAAGGAAATAGATGAAAGAGTGAAGTTAAAAGTGAGTAGTGTGGAATTAAAAGATCCAAGAGTAGAAATAGAAAAAGATGAAAAGATAGAAAAGTTAAGTGGAAAAAGAATGAGATCTGAAAGATTAGTGGAACAGAAAAAGAAAAAAGTAGCAAATACCTCAAAAGCCAAACATGGCTAGTGCACTTAAAGTGAAATCTATTAATATAACTGGATTGAGGGAAATAAGAAAACAAGTTTATTTATTAAATTTAATGTATAATGATCCTACAGATATACTAATGATTCAAGACACTAACATAAGGAATATTCAAGATGTGAGACAGTTAAGAAAGATTTTTGTTGGTTTTAACATCTATGCATCCTTTTCTAGTCGCAGGAGCACCGGTGTGGTAACAATGGTAAAGAAAAAGATACATGTATGTGACTTTAAGACGGATAGCGGTGGACGGATATTAACTGTGGATCTCCAGGTAAGAAATAAGATAATAAGAGTGGTAAATATTTATGCGGCCCCTCAGGTCTCCGAACGCAAAGATATGTTTAATCAATTAAGTAAATTTTTAATAGGAATAAAGTATATTATTTTAGCCGGTGATTTTAATAATGTTTTACAAGTTTTAGATAAAAACCGGACTTTACATCCGGACGGTTCTAGAAAAATTTTAACTAAAGTTATTGATGAATTTGATTTTATTGATGTTTACCGTTATATTTATCCACAATATCCTGGGTTTACGTGGTCAGGTCAAGGAATCATGGAGCGCCTGGATAGAATATATATAACAAGTAATTTGAATAATATAAATGATATACAAGTAAATTATTTGATAGATAATATGAAGAGACTTACAGATCATAAATTGGTTCAATTAACACTCCAAATTGAGGAGAATGTTGAAATTAAAAGAAGAATTAAGNCCGCGAACGCGACGAAAAAATTTTACTCGTCATAAAACGATAAATAGTTTGTCAAATTTTTATTCATAAAAATGCAGTTTCAACTGCTTTTTATTTTATAAAATCCGTCTTCTTGCGCCATCAGAGGGCCTTTTAAACAATAAGTAGTCTGTTAGCATTGGTCAGTAGTAGTCCAAATTCAATACGAACGTTTGTTTCTTGACAATTTGATCACGATTTAAATACAGTATTTATTTTTAATATTACCGATATGTCATCGAAAAGAAAACGTGTTGTATTATCATTAAAAGACAAATTAAAGTATCTGTTTCGATTATCCGGATTTTTCCTTATCCGGACTACCTTCATCCCCAATTAGTCCGGATAATCGAGGTTCTACTGTACATGTATGTGACTTTAAGATGGATAGCGGTGGGAGGATACTAACTGTGGATCTCCAGGTAAGAAATAAGATAATAAGTGTGGTAAATGTATATGCGCTTCCTCAAGTCTCCGAACGTAAAGATATTTTTAACCATTTAAGTAAATTTTTAATAGGAGTTAAGTATATTATTTTAGCTGGTGATTTTAATAATGTTTTACAAGTTTTAGATAAAAACCGGACATTACATCCGGACGGTTCTAGAAAAATTTTAACTAAAGTTATTGATGAATTTGATTTTATTGATGTTTACCGTTATATTTATCCACAATATCCTGGGTTTACGTGGTCAGGTCAAGGGATTAAGGAGCGCCTAGACAGAATTTATATAACAGATA